TCTAACCACTGTCTCTTGACATTCGATGATGTCACCATCACTGAATCCCCCCACTATAAACATCCTTGGGGGTTACCATTGACCAGAAACTTAACTGAGCTCGCCACATAAACACAGTGATTACAACAGATCAGAGGCTAGGAATACTGCGGTGAGAAACTCATCTCCTGACTTCCCAAAGCCTGTCCACCATCTACAAGGCACAAGTCAGGAATGTGATGGAATACTCCTCACTTGCCTGGATGGGTGCAGCTTCAACAATTTTCAAAAAGCTTAGCACCAGACAAAGCAGCACGCTTGATTGGGACCACATCCACTCCCTCCACACCAACGCTCGGTAGCAGCAGTGGGTACTATTGACAAGATGAACTGCAGAAATTCAAAGACCCTTAGTCAGCACCTTCCAAACCCACAACCACTTCCAACTAGAAGGACCAGGACAACTGATACTTGGGAAGACCACCACCTGCAAGTTCCTTTCCAAACCACTCACCATCCTGACTTGGAAATGTATCGCTGTTTCTTCACCGTCACTGAATCAAATCCTGGAATTCCTTTCCTAATGGCATTGTGTGTCAATCTTCAGCACGTGTACCGCAGGGATTCAAGAAGGCAGCTCACCACCACCTTCTCAAGGTCAACTGGAAACGGGCAATAAATGCTGGTCAGCTACCATATGTCTACGTCCCACGAATAAAACCATATCAATGATAAAAGGACCAAACGTATGCTAGGTAGATTTGCCAATACCACCAAGATAGGTTGGGAAGTAAGTTATCAAGTGGTGGTAGAGTCTTCAAAAGGGATATGGACAGGTTAACTGGCTGGGTAAATATTCGGCAGATGGAGTACAATGTGGGAAATGTCAACTTGTCCATTTTAGTGCGAAGAATACAAAAACAGTATACTATTTAAATGAAGAAAGATTGCAGACCTTGGCATGAGAGGGAGATGGGTACCCTGATACATGAGTCACAAAGTTAGTATGCAAGTGCAACAAGTAATTAGGGAAACAAATGGAATATTGTTGCTTATTGCAAGGGGAATGCAACAGAAAAGTAGCAAAGTTCTACCGCAGCTGTACAGGGCTGTGATGGGACTACAACTGAAGTCCTGTGTATAGTTTTAATCTCCTTATTTGTAAAAAGATATAATTGCTTCAGAAGAAGTTCAGAGCAGGTTCACTTAAAACTATTTATCCAGTCAAGTGTCATCATAAAGAATGATTAAATCTGAATAAAAAGAGATCTTACTGAAACATACAAGATCCGGAAGGGATTGATCAGGTTGGTACTGGGATAGTGTTTTCTTACGGGGGAAGATTAAAACTAAGGGACATCATTAAGAATAAGAGGTCGGTTTTAAAGACAGAGATGAGGAGATAGCTTTTCTCAGGGTTGTTGGCATGTGGAATTTTCTTCGCCAAAAGGTATCGGCAGCTGAATCTTTAAATTTATTGAAGGTAGAGTTAGACTTTCTGATAGACAAGGGGTTATGGGGCATGGACAGGAGCTGGGACCACAGCCAGATCAGCAATTAACTTATTGAACAGTAGAACAGACTTAATGAGCGAAATGCCATTTTCCAATGCCTGATTCCTTCATTCATTAACTTCTCTGCTCAAAAAGCAGATAGTAAGCATCACACTGACAGACAAATCATAAAATAAGGAAGATGCAAACTTTTTGATTGGCAAGCTGGCGTGATCTACACAATTCTGTCACCTGACTTGCAGCTAGTAATAGCACGCAAGACAACTAAAATCAACAGAGAAACATGAGTAGGCTATTCAACCCTTTGAGCCTGCTCCACCATTCAATATGATCATGGTCGATCATCCAACTCAACACCTTGATCCAGCTTTCTTCCTATAATCTTTGATCTCTTTAACCCTATATCTACTGTATCTCCTTAAAAACACTCAATGTTTTGGTCTCAACCATTTTCTGTGGCAGAGAATTCTACTAGCTCACTACTCTGGGTGAAGAAATTTCTCATCTCAGTCCTAAACAGTTTACCCCCTATCCTTGAACTATTACCTCTGGTTCTGTACTCCCCAGTCATCAGGAACATCCTTCCGGCTATTCCCCCGTCTGCTCCTGTTGAATTTTATAAGTTTGCACGAGATCCCCCCTCATTCTTCTAAACTACAGTCAATATAGCCCTAACCAATCCAGTCTCTCTCTATATACGTCAGTCTGGTAAACATTCATTGCGCTTCCTCCACAGCCAGAACATTCTGCCTTTGATAAGGAGATCAAAGCTGCACATAATACTCCAAGTGTAGTCTCACTGAAGCTCTGTACAACTGGAGCAAGACATCCCTCCTCCTGTACTCAAATTCTCTCGCTATGAAGGCCAACAAGCCATGTGCCTTCTTCACTACCTGCTGCAGATTCCTGTTTATTTTCAGCAAGCGGAGTACAAGGACATCCAGGTCTTGTTGCACCTCCTCTTTTTCCCAATCTACCACCATTCGGATAATAAATTGGCCTTCTTGCTTTTACCATCAAAGTGGATAACCTCACGTTTATCCACATGATACTTCACAAGCATTTGCCCACTCATTCAAGTTGTCCAAATCACACTGAAACATCTCTGCATCCTAATCACAATTCATCCTCCCACCCAGCTTTGTGTCATCTGCACATCTGGACACATTACATTTAGTTCCCTTATGAAACATGGAATTAGAAAGGCTAAATATCAACATAGCATCCCAACTGGAGACAGGGCTCACTGCTAACAGATCACTGAACGAAAAAGGATGACATAACAATCTGGCAGGGGAAGAATTCAGAGGAAATTAGTGAATGGGACACAGGTTTTGTTCTAGGAAACTCACTAAGGTCGATGGTAGCTTCTATCCTCACCCCTCCGTCCACACCTTCAATCCCACACCGTGGTCCACCTCTCAAACACTGCCAGTTAACCTCAAGAATATTTATGCTTTATTACAAAGACAAAGGAATACCTCTATGTGGAGCTTAACACTGAGAAAAATCCCCAATTCAGAACATCTTTACCTACTAGGGGATTTCACAGAAGAGTGGGTGCTGGACAAGAGACATAGCCCTCCTACCTCACATTCCCTAATTTGCAAGTTTTGATATTGAGCTATATTACATCTTCACAAGCTCAAAAACTGGTCAGTCACCTGTGTGACTGCTGATAGGAGTATATAGGTTTCAAGTGTATTTCAGACATTATTATAAGGCTGTACATTCAATTCAGATCTTTATTGACGGACATACACAGGACATACAAATGGGTAGTGTGTTTAATACTTGCCAAGGTCACAACTGCTGAGGCAGTTTACAAGTTCATAAGAAACCAATGACTATTTGTGACTTCCAAATCTATGTAAAAAGTTGCTGTCAATACGAACATCCCATTTCAAAAACACTTGCTCAGCCACAGATACATTGCAGTTATGTTCTACTTGACTGCTTAATACAAGCTATGAAAAGATAAGAAATTATTTGTGGCATAAGCGACACGCATTAAGAAGCCTATACAAAGTGAAATCTCGTTATTGTCAACAACCAAAAAACAACACACACGTTCAAGTAACGTATCTAAATCAATTTACCTACCTGTTCATGGATGTCAACCACCACTGCATTCTGTTGAGGTGGGTGTGCAGCAGGGTGGAGCATGCGTGGAGATACAGTTGGAGGGTGAAATGCTCTGGGTTCCTCTGCAGCTGGCTGCTGTCCATAAGGATGATGGTGGTAGTTTTCGTCTTGGTTCACAGAACTATGTCTAGTCAGTCTTTCTCGTCTTCCTCTTTGACGCCTAACAGGAGGACTGTGTAAAAGCAGATCACAACATTAATAGTATAAAACATTAGTAGAGATTTGAACAACACATGTTTTTGATTACATCTTCATTGCTTTTCCCAGATAAGACTTTATAGATTTCCACTTTTGATTTATCATATGTGCATGATTTTAAATGAACGTTTGCAACGCACCTAGCTGATGTTATAATTGGACAACAAGGTGCAGGGCTGGATGAACACAGCAGGCCAAGCAGCATCATAGGAGCAGAGAGG